AAAATAGCCATTTTTAAAAATGTTTTGCTCCTCTCTAACGAAAGACATAATTAAATTAATTTCTTTTTTTTATCAATATGTTACTCTAGCTGTCAGCTATCTTTTCCATATTTTTGATAAGGTCTAAGTCAAGTCTGGGCTGAGCTACATCACGCTGATCCTCGCGGGACAAAAAAGCACTGTTTAGTCCGCGACGCCATTGTTAGTGTGAATTTACCTAGAAGCTGTGTATGAATTTGGAATTCATTCACATGTTTTATAAGTAGCATGTGTTTACTACAATTTATTTGCAAAGAGTAAGTTGAGATGTTATTTTATTTAAATAAAAAATTGATTTTATTGTCGCTAGATGTCAGCTAAATCATGGTTTCATATTGAGTTGCTAATAACTTGATAATCACTTGTAACTTTGAGTTAATTTTTTCAGTGGTAGTGAGCATAGTTTAGATAAATAACATATAAAAATTTCGCTAAGATTCATTCACTAACGAAAAAGTTATAGCTTTTTTACATGTCGGATATGAACGGTAGAATGGCAGCGCAAATCGCTCAATTGCTATACTACTTTCGAAAGTAACTTTCATCCGTGTATTCGAACAATTTTTTCACATCTAGCCTGCAAAAACTCAACAGTTTCTATCATTCAGGCGTGCTAAAACAATCTATTAGATAAATAAAGTCGAAGAAAGCTTAATGTTGAGCTTAATTACCGAAATAGCGATCTCTTTCATGACTTTATGGCAGCAAAAAAAAAGGCACAAACATTAAAGTCTACTATATCTGTTTGTTAGAAGACGCATAGTTTTGTGAACAACTAACAATCATAATCTCTCAAACCATTTTGTGCGTATGTCTAATAATGGTAATTAGAAAAGTATAGCAAAGAATTTTTTCTAATAATCCTAGTCCAATCAACACCCCGTGTAAACCATAATCAAGCTTAACAATATCTGTTGTTTGATCAACTTCAGATGTTGTATTTTTCAATGTTATACCTAATACTGAAACGAATATCATCGCCGTTGATGTTAGACCAGCCAGAATATGAACAAATGAAACAACGAGAAAAAATCTATGACGACGATTAATAAGCGTTAAAAATGCAAATATTCCTGCAATAAATATTGTTACACCAGTCCAAATACCGTGACCCGTTTGATACAGCGTCAATTCAAATACGACGATTAAAATACCGATAATAATGGAAATTAAACCGATTAATAATTCGCTAATTGCCATTATTTTTGACCAACATGTATTCCAATTTCTTTTCAAATGAGCATTTATCAAGGTTTCTGCTTTATACATTGAACTGTAAGAATAATTTGACAAGAGAGATTGTTCATCAAATGTTGGTATACCTTGTTCCATTAGAGTAGAATATGGTGGTGTCCAAACAGTCGTAAGAGCAGACAATGGTTGATTAACCAATTGTCGTGTACCAATAACAGACGTAGTAGCAGTAAGTTCTTTCATCTCACTACCATATTCACAGTTAACACCTGTTATTTATTTTTATTTAATCATTCGTTTAAAATTTAGTTTCAATGGAAAAGGCAAGTGGGTAGGTTTATATTACATTTATTCTTCTTTATTTCGAACGATGCCAGTTTTTTTTTCTTTTCTTTTTCTGTTTTGTAAAAAATATCACCTTACAGTTACGAATCTGCTGTTGTTGTGGAACTAAGAAAGAAGAAGGAATTTGCGTGTGTGTGTAGAAAAGTAAAAGTGTAAAATAATTCATTGAACATGTCATATGGAAACAAGCTTTTTATTCACTTCCTCTTTTTTTTTACTACATATATGCCATACCTAATATTGTAAAAAATAATAGGTAGAAAAAAAGACACAACATGTAGAAAATGACCTACATACGCAAATCAACACTTTTGTCGGTCTAACAAGAACATTAGAACAAGTTAAGATTTCTGTTTTAAAAAAGACTAGCTCTAAGAACAAGAAGCAGAAGGATCTAACATTTTTCAATTCTCTTCCGTAAAACTGATGTAAAACAGCATTCTGAACATTTATGAATCTCTTTTCACTTTGTGAAGTAACGTTAATATAATAAACGCATGTAAACCTAAACATATCTAATAAAACCTTTCTATAACGTGTGTTAGCGTCGATAGATAAATTACAAGACATGAAAGAGAAAAGTTAGCATGAGAGAAAGAAAGAAAGAATGCATCTTATGTCAGTGTACGGTAATAGTATTTGAGGCAGTTAGGACAGTCATACGAATATTCTCGGTTAAGTATATCAAAAACAGAGCATGTAATGATCTGAAAATTGTTTTATGATTATACAAGATAGAAAAAATGGATATTTTTATGATACCTTACACTATCTTTTAGGAAGAAAAAAAATAGGTGTTTTATGTACAAAGATTTATACGATTCGTAAATATCTGATAATTTCAACCGTTTCATCATTAACAATAAGAAAGAAAGACATTAAGAAAAAAATGTTAAAATTTTTGCTTATTTTCATTATCGCGGGACAATATTGTCATATAATGTATATTCTTCTAGTTTTCTCTAATCTGTTATTTTTTAACGAGATAGTGCACAGAAAGTAAACTGAATGCAAATTTGGATGGTGCAACTTTTTCTCCATACCCTATGATACTCAAAATCTCTGATTACTGCTGATATCACTGCAATAGTATAACCATTTGACATAAATCCTTACGTACTACTGTAGAGATGTACAGGTTAGCTGTTTCTGGGTCGCTGACCCTACCTGTGAACATTGTTTGAGCCCTCAATTACTCCCTGTGACAACGGAGCTCTAACCCTATGCTGTGGTTTCAGATGATCTTAAAACCCTGGCCCTACTTCGAAAATTCTGAGATTTTTCCATATAAACCAAAGATGAAATCATCATTTTTTTAAAATTCCATGGCAGCATAGTGTCATCGACCATTCCATCCAGCCTTTGTCGCTACTCTTCCAACACTAGATTTGTCAAACAAATCCTTGACCCTACTCTACCCTGTGACTACGGAGCCTTCATCCTACCCTACCAGAAGAGTTGTGGTAAGGGCGCCCTGCACATCTTTATACTATGATGTGGGTGTCACTGATTCAATAGTACGCTCTAGTATCGATTTTAAAAAGATTATTAAAATGTCCAACTTCCTGTACACGAGCGGGGAGGTATATTTGCTTTTTAAAAAAGTCATACAGAGCTCCCACCTCTTTTCTTTTACATCGACCGCTTGTATATAAACACCACAATATCAGTCGTTATACAATTATAAAATAAAGTTATATATTTCTACTGAGTTGAACAAACCCAGTAGCCGTGCATGTATTTCCCCTACAAAAGTAGAGCATGGCTGCGGAATACGTAAAAAATACAAATTAAGATAAATGTAATATGTATTTGACTGAAGCTTTGAAGTAAATTTACTTGCATTGTGTCAGCCAAGTACTTACATTTTAGTTGTCAAATACTTGAGAAAGTACTTGACAAGTAAATTTAATTGGAAAAGACTACACGTACTGTCCTCATTACTTAACATAGGTTTCAAGGTTTTCTTAGATCTTGGTTTCAAGATGTTGGACTAGGGTAGTTATTCCTTGCTGTCTGAATGATTTTCCACGTTTGGGCAAATGTATTTGTTCTTCTGATTTCTGACAAGTATCTTCATTACTTCGAGTAGAGCTATGGCTCACCCGATCTACTGTTAAACTAACAAGATTCCAGCCTCATATCACCGATAAAAAAAATTAAAGTTTGTTTAGAGTTAAAGAAAAGCGCTTTTTCGTATTCAGCACACTTGATAACCTGGAAAATTTTCTATTTTTAGCGAGGGGTACCGTCAAAAAGTTAAGAAAAATTTTCAAACAAATTGACGCAGAAAATCCCATGGTAAAAATAAACAATTTTAAAA